CCCAACAGGCTTGCATCATTGCTTTCACCACCAAATTCATTGATCGAATGGTCTTTCACTACCATTATCGGGATCAGTTTGGTGATTTCAACAACTTCACACTCTCTCAAATGGAGACCTCACGGTTCCCGGCTAACACGTCCGAGAGGTATTGCTTGTAAGTTTGTCCTGAGTGATTTGTGGCCATATTTGATCTGCGAGTATGTTGTTATGTCGGTTAAAACAAATATGTTATGTGTTATATGTTATTTATGTATTGTTTATTCTTGTACACGTGCTCTTGTAGGTTACTTTTCTGGAAAGAACCTATCGATACTACTGTTTTCCGGGATTCTGTTCTGTTTCCACTTGTAATGCTGACAATAGCTCCCGTTCCTCTACCATTTCATCATCTATTTGTATGCCCCGATGATATAATAATTGATTGTCGTTATAAAACGATGCTTTGTTTCACCTTCTCCAAGACTTCTCATCGTTTTTTTTTACCACGCTCTATTATTTGCTTGCCACCAAAATATCCGTCGATGCTCTTTTCAGGTTTATGGCTGGCTCACATTACCACACCTTATTCATTTGTTCTCCCTTTTCTTGCTTTGAATACTGACAAATATACGTCCGAGGACAATACTGTCAGGCATTTTAGTACTACTGTCCTGTCGCACAATATTTCCTGACAAAATCCGTACTGAAAAAATGTACGCGATTAAAAGGTAAACATTCGCTTGCTTGCACCAGCGATCACGGGAACAATACAGCTTCCTAATGTGCTTCCTTTTTGACCAGTCATTTTACAGTCCGTTTCTGTTCTCGAAGATGGCTTCACATTTTTGATTGTTTTCCTTTCTTCTTCTCACAACTCTTTTTCCTGCGGCCTCTTTCTTCACATTATTTTATCTTTTTTAAACCTGATTGGACGTGATTATTTAGCATGGGCTCTGTGTGACTATTCCCGTAACTTCATCATAGGTTTAATTCATGAAACAGCATTATCCTCGTACGAGGATAATGGCATCGATTTGCTTCCAGGTGGTTGTCTGTCTGATCTGGAGTATGCAGACGATATTTTGCAACCAGGTGAAGATCCAGGTAATTTGTAAGCTTGAAATGATGTGGAATGATTGTAGCTCGGTTCCAGCTCTATATCTAAGGAAACACCGGTAACTCGAGGGTGCCCCAGGTAGAACCGGTCCAAAACTAGTTTGGAACCGATTTGTGGTTGGTCTGGAAAAGAAAGTCTATCAATGGACAAAAAGGATGGTCACCATGACAACGAAAAGTCAATCGAATCACAGCGAACGGTTGCTGCTGTCCAGTAGGATTAAAAGGACGCAAACAGCCAATTGAAACCCTCGAACAGAACTGTATAAGCTCGATCCCACTGAGAACTGGCGTTTCCCCGAAGTCGTACTGATGATCTTGCCCGGCATGGCTGCTACGAAACGTCTGTGAACAACACTTCAAGCTAGGAGAACTTACCAACACCAACACCAAAGCTCCAAGATTTTCTGGAAAGTTTGAGTGCAGCCATATTCGGTATGCGTACTCATTATTCTTGCAACCATGGTTCCTCTTCACTTGGACTCTGTTCTCAGCACTCCAGTCTGCATTCTGCTCTTTTATCCAGAAAAAAAGCAACGAAAGTCGATGTATGATAGTGCATAGTTAATGGTTCTATAGACTGAAATCGACTATTCTCGTTTGGAATATATATACTATTTGGCGGAGTAAGTAGGACGAGTTCGATGCCCGGATACAATCCTCCCGACCACTCTGAATAATTATCTAAAGAGAAATATTAAAGTGAAAAATTTTGTTCGAACGCATTGTCTAAAAGAGTTTCCCGTCCGATGTACTGATTAACTTTAATCGTTATTGTACTGCAGTCAATCTCAGTGAATATCGGAAACTCGCTACATGCCCATGATAACAGTCATCTGCGAGGTGGGCACTTGATGCTTAATTAGGGCACTCCCTCCCTCATCGAGCAGGCATACGGTTCGATTTTTGCCTCAAAGCGATTAGATCTGTCCTAATTACGACCGGGTTGTCCAGCTCAGTTCAATCATCACCTCATAGTCTTCCACGAAATTTCTTGAGCAAAACAGGCAGCCCGGACAAAGGGGGTAATCAGTCTGAAATCGAAATAGTGGATTGATTGAGCACCGATCACCACTTCAGTTTCCGTCAATCCTCATTAGTGCGACTTGGTGAGAATAGCGACCTTAGAAGAATTGTGTCAGTAAACTGGAAGCCACAACTGTCGTTCTGGATCTTTGCCATTGTCAATTTGGAGTCATAAATATTTTCGATTTCGTTTGTTATTCGGACAGGACGAGTTTTGTCAATTACAAACCCGATTTCATATTTCAGTTAGTTTTTTTGCGCAGAATTCTGTGCTGAGCCACATGAGGGGGACACCCAATCGGAGCAAGTTTACTATATAAATTTAGATGCCTTAGGCATGTTACCCATGCCACCAGATAGCCGTCCTCGATGTACACATTTCTCTAAGCAGGCAGCTGATGGGGGAACATCAACAATAAGCAGATTTAGGCCTGGTTCGAGGGTATAAAAATCCCGACCGGGGCTCTTCGTCATGCAGGTTGTTTTGGGGATCTCGGGATCTGTGTGATCAATGATATGAGGTACTCAATGATATGGCTAGGTTGCGTAAACAGTGCACTTGCTCAGTTCAGTTTACTTGAACGCTCTATCTTCATCCTGTTACTATCATCGGCTAGCTACTTCCTCTATCATTTCTTCATACCTGTCTGATCAAATGGATGGCCGAAAAACAGCAACCAAAGACAGCGCACCAAAATGTTAGGCGGTATAATCTGAACTAATGACAAGCGTGCCATCAAGCCGGATGTCTGAAAAGTTGGATTGAGAGGATAGGCTAGACAGCTGAGGAAGAGTTCTTTCTAAATGCGTGCCTAAGACTTCAGGGCATGACATACTTCGTGGCAGCCCACACCGACGAAGGGTTTTTTCTTTGGGAACCCTAACCGGAACCTCTGATCTACAGAGCAGTTGGCCCTAGATCCAGCAAAGTTACCTACCATCTAAATTAAATCATAATTGCAGGATCAAAGTTCTGATCCCGAGCACAGCAGTAAGAACGAACTCAATAACTTCACAACGCCCATAGATTTGAACACGAGCTGTGCTCACCTGGTTTCGCACTGACACCCATAGTTTTGTCGGGGTTTCCTGTAAACTCTCTTTGTCGTCCAGTGAACCAAATGTCTGTTTGCCACCATTTTACCTTTTCTCGCATTATTTTTCTCTGGTCTGTCGGTTATGTATTTTCCGGGCCTCTGTCTACTGCTCACAGCTACGAAGATTACCGAGAACCACCGTGGATAGATCCAGAAATGCCTCGTACCCTGGTCTACTATCATGTTTTGGCGGTGAAATTTATCTTCGTTTTCATGTTTGAGGTGAGTTCATTTTTCTCCGAGTCCTCTTTGTCTGTTTCACTCCATAACTTTGCCTCCATTTGGGACATTTTGTGCATTTTCATCTTATCTTGCTCTCGTCATGAAATTGAGTCATAATGCCTGTTGATCTTCAGGGAGTGCGACTTTAGAATGCATCCCACATTTGTGTCTTCTTCTCTATCTCTCGCTCACGTACACACACACAGTTGGATGTCCTCATGCTATTTCATTCGCATATTCGGAGACGATAAAGTTCGTTTACTAAGTCAATGCGCAGTGGATATAGTACTGAACGCCCAAGTGGACACTTGAAGGTGGATTGCTTTCCCGTCAATTGTCCTATTTGCCTAAAGATACCATGGGGTTCAACGCGGAAAGGAAGTAACACCAAAATTGTTTGTTCATTTTTTCATCATTGGTGACGACCAACTGCAGTCGCGGTGCATCGTGAATGAATTTTCCAACACAATCACAGAACTTATCCGGCCGCGCCGCAACGTAGATGGGTGATATAAACAATTCAAGTTTTCAAGATTTATGCACCCAGCAGGGTGGATTTTCGGCACTTTCTCCGAGTTGCAATGAAGGAGACGGTAAACGTTGAAAAAATAAACCAATAAACGCTTACTAAATGAAAAACAAATGGATGTGATAAAAAGTTACTGTGATAGGTGATTTCCCAAGTCGGTAATGATAGTTGGTCGATTAAACGAGATCCGAGCAGTGTAAGGGATGATGCCATTTTTAAAGCTGGCAGCGTGAGAAGAATGAGACCAATTCATTGTCTCTCGCCTTAGTTGAATGTGTTTTTATCGTCTGTTCTTTCATATTACCGTCGTCTCTCAGTTGTCACTTGCTTGATCCCCCCCCGCTCATCCCATCCCCGCACGTCCGTCTGTATGATAAACTGCAATGCGCACGTATTGCTATGGCATGCAGACCATTGCCGTGTTGCTCACCTCATTGATTGCCGCAATGATCCCGGACACGCCGAAACACATCAAAACTCAGATACATCGCGAGGCACACATCACCAATCAGATTATTTTGCAAGCTGAATGGCAAAATCAACAGAAAGGTTCGAGCAGTAGTGAACAGACTGGTCGATTCCGTAAACAGCACGGTCTGGATGACCGGGTGCTGCGCGACATGTGCAACCGATTGGCGGAGACGGATGAGGGTAAACAACCGTCCACCGCGCTGCCCGTCATCGGATTTTATTCGTTCGAAGAGGAAGATCCCCTGAATGCGGTGAGTTCATCATGCGATCGTACGATACATCACACACACACACATTTACTTTCATACCTTTGCTGCGAGATTTGTTGTACAAACAGTTTTTCCAAGTATTGCTAGTGTCCACTATGTAATAATTAAATAATGACCGGGTAATGAACAGTTCATACAAGCGTTAGAAGCTAGCATTTTCACGCACTGCGATCTTAGTTACTATCCTTTGGTTACTCATTTTGACGAATCGGTGGCGAATGTGGCAATTCACTGTCGATGGATCTAGTCATCTGCCGTTTAGTTGGACACATATTGAATGCGTGGTCCCCATTGGACTATTTCTACTCTCGGAGTTCCTCAGGCCCGGGTTACTGTTCTGTTTGTTTGTGTTAGTTCCCGTTCGTCACGCATTAGACGTTTGCAACCGGATCCAGATCGCCCTAATTGATGTTTAGAGATTCTGTATGTCTGTATGTCTAACTCTGTATGTCGGCTGGAGGAAAGCACGTGGAGGTCAACAGATGACCTGGAGACGAGGCATGAAGAAATGCACAGAGCCATTAGGTAGAGTAGGTGTCTCTCGCCTTCCGGGTTAGGGTCCGAAAGACTCCACAACTGGTTGATTGGAGACATTGAAGGATATGGCAGCGCACCGGCATCAGCGGCGTTCTTGTTGTCGTTTCTTATCAGGTCAGAATGCTTAAAACGGAATGTATGCAGAGTTCGATTGCGTACTGTGTTGAACATAGTGGCTCATCTTCTTCTCCCTTCCTCAAAATAGATCCAATCCCTGTCCACCTTAAATTTTACCACTAACCTTGTATGCATTGTGAGTTTGGCAGCGGTCAGTAAAGTTCGCTTCACTGTATTTCACTGTACGATGATGATGATGACTGTATGTCGTACACAGTGGAACTTGTGCATCTACTCTACTCGTCGATGGGAGCAGCATCAGATCACTCACATCTGGTTTCCCTTCGTCAGCATGTCTAGGGGTGTGCTAAGATGCAGAGGTTATCATCATTTTACACCCGACTGATGGTGAAAAAGAAATAATCATGCATCCTTCAGTTGTTTTCTAACCCATAATCTATTCGAGAGGTGTTTTCATTCGTCTGACGACCGCTGTTTGTTTTTTTTTGCCTCGCGTTACTAAGCCTCCTGCTTGATTTTTATGTATTATATTAGCTGAGCTTCCCATACAAGTATGCGAATCAAAACGACCTGGAGGCGTCTGCAGTTAGACCCATTTTTATCAATATTGTAGCCCACTCATTTGTTTACTAAGATCTTGCATGTATTACATGCTCACAGCTGCATGACAAATTTAACAATTTCTAGAAATAGGTTAATAAATCAGACGAAACAGCCCTCGAATCATTTGCAAATATCGGTATGTGAATGTTAGTTCACCGGCATACAAGCCCCTCCCTAGACCAAAAGCAGAGACATCCATTTGTGCCTCGGTGACGTACGTTCCTCGCTTTTCCTGATTCGGCACGGGTACGGCTGTACTCCAAGAAGGAGTCCTTTTCCCATCGCCTATCGCACACGTATCATTAATGCTGACTTGATTTACTTCATCCACTTCTGTTCCCCTGGTGTGTGTTTCTTCACGTGGGTCATCACCTCGCCTCACATCCACCGCACAAATGTTCATTCATCAGAGTGTAGATGAGCATGTCAACATTTGCTGAAATGAAACATGGCGATGTGATTAGGATTATGGTTAGGTTCTTAGTGTTGCCCTACACTAGGGTTTTTCTGCCACCATCCTCCTATTCACCATGTGCTCACTCGACTCAACAGAATCGGCAGATCATCATTTCACCAGTCTATCTATTCCAGTCTGATTGGTCGTATCGTTCGTCATTGCAAATGTCAATTTCCCCTCTCATCCGCTGACTGATTCTTCCACATTTAACTGTTCCGTACGAACCTAATCCGCGACTTTTTTTCAGATTTCAGTGCCAATGTATCCATTGGCTGTTAGTAAAATTGACGACACCACATTGGGGTCTGTGTGATTTACCCAATGAGGTGAGCTTTTCAGGTGAGCTGGTCATGCACCCAAACAGATTGTGAACCAACTATCCACTGGGATGTCCGTTTGAGTTCTTGTCCTCTTATCACCCTCGTCGAACCTCACTACTGTCTTTATCAATAACAAATGTTTTCATTGATTGCTAACTGTTCTCTTCCGCTGACCTTAACTTAACTCCTCAATATAAGTCTATTGTACCTCGTTTGCCTATTTATTCATATCCGGAGGTGCTTTGATAAACGCCTAACTTCCGTTCAGTTCAATCCAAGACTCGGAACGAAAATCATGACTTGAGCATTCGCTTAGCTTGTTTCATCTTTATCATCGTTGCTTTTCTGCACCCCGAGGCAAGGTGCTTGAAATGTGCTCAGAAATGTGAAAGACCTTCTCATTCCTCTCACTGCTATGTTCATGTGTCTGAAATTTTCTAAAGGATCTGACCAAGTAGTAGAAGCGAACCACCATTTTCCAAGATTGGCAATCATTGTTTTCACTTGGGAATAAACGCGTCTAGAGTCCACAGTTTTATGCCCACTGAATTATGGTTGAGTAATAACTGGCGGTGGTTTAGTTTTCCTTCAAGCATGAGTTGACCAGGTGTCGACTAGTTATATAGATTAAATTCAGTCAACGCAGTTTTCTCAGAAATGAAAAAGCGGCTTCGTCTTTCTCGCATTCGAAAAAGGTCATGGTAAGGCAAAAAGGCCATGCAATACAGTTTATAACAATGACAGATGATGAGCAAGCGAGTGTCGGAATTTCTTCGATTGTGATTGAAAGTCGTAATCTTAAACCTTACAAAGATCTCATCTGTCTGGTTCGAGGTGACTGCGATTGGCATTTTCAACCATGAACTATGCAAGAAAATGAGCCTACGCAAGATATTGTTGTCACCTTGGCCTAAACGCCGGACTGGCTGTGCTCAAAGCGGAACGTTGTCACCCCGTTTGTTCGCCTCGATGCTGCATCGCGCACCACATTTGTTTACTTTTAATTTCTTTTCTCTGCGTCGTACAATAACCTTTCCCGGTTCCATCACATGCTATCCATACCAATTCTTCTGTAGTTTGTATCTTGCGCAATATCGTCCTCGCAACGCTCATCTCAGCATAGCAGTCATCGCGTTCTTTTCTTCCCTGTAATTTCGTTTGACATTTGACCTCTCATTCGCTTTTCATGACTGGACTATTCAATACTGCGTTAACGTTCTTACACTTCTGTCACTGTGCTGTATTCGGTCAACTATATGTATGCCCGCAATCACTATCTTGCATGTGGAAGCGTCCACTTTGAACTGTGAAATCAATTATTTGCAAACGCCTTTTTCACACTGTCACATTTTGGCAAGCTTAATCCAAAGATCTGTTTCTCTTACGG